CCCCAATCAGCCCCCAAACCCTTTCCTCCGCCCCACACTGGCCGCCATGCGGCCCTGCGGCCATGGCCGCAGGGCCTGGCCGAGGCCTTGGCCGCGCATGGCCGCCTGGGAGGGATTCATTGGAAAGCGGCGATGGCGGAGAGCGGACGGAGGGGAAGGCGGGGAGGGGGAAAAGGTGGAAGGGGAGAAGGGGTTGAAAAAAGAGCAGTAGATTTGCCAATTTTCACATCTATAAGATCGATAATATTATCGATCTTATTTTTGCTGGAGGCGAAAATGGACCGCGGGCGGCGACCAGCAGGCACAGGCTGTTCCAGTCCAATGATTTTCCATCGCCAACTTTGGCGATAATTCGCACTCAGAAGAATGGACGAAAAAAACTGAAAATTTCAGATCCTGTAGATTAGGTTGTGATCTTTCTAGGAAAAATATCAAAAAAATGATAAAAACATATTTAGATCATGAAATAAATGCCGCGTCGTTTTGTCCCATTTTCCATTTTTGCCCCTGTTGAAAATATAAATTAGAAGAAATGTATTCGTCATGCGTTTTCCAGCAGGTGATGCTCCCCACCAATAGATGGAGCCGATCCCCAGGTGCTAGCGGTGACTGCTCTTATCAGCATCCCTAGCACTGGAGGGGCAGTTTATTTTAACAAAGAAAAAAAATAAATAAAAAAAATCGTCATGTGGTATCATTTGTGGACTTTTTCTGTGGACTTCTTTTTCAGTTTGAAAATATGAGAGAGATAGATAGATAGATAGATAGATAGATAGATAGAGAGAGAGAGAGAGAGAGAGAGAGAGAGAGAGAGAGAGAGAGAGAGAGAGCACGTAGAAAAGGGTGAATTCGTTTGGTTTAGACCAGGTCCTTTCGTTTTTGCTTTCCTTATTTTGTTCGTTTCTTCTTTTCGTTTTCGTTTTCATAGATTTGCAGGATATGGGATATCATAGAAGACCTAGCAAGGAGGTAGAAAAGTATTGAATAAATAGGATGTAGGACAGGTAACGTCATAATACTGGGGAAACACACACACACACACACACACACACACACACACACACACACACACACACACACACAC